TTAAGATTGAATATACAAAAAGGTTATAGTTTCTATGATTATCTGAGCTGCCTATTACGATATAGACATTGTTACTTTTACTCTAATTAAATAATTTGGATCCAATATTACAATCATGGATAATAGTTCCATAAGATAAATTTTTCTTGCAAGCTTTGCAATATGTATGGATATGATGGTTTTCAATATTATAATAGTAAGTAACATTGTGAACTCCCTTTGATTAGCAATCACTTGTTTGATTTTTAAATCTTCGTTGTAAATATCTTCAAGTTCTTTTTGAGCACATTTATATCCGATTGTAATTAAAGCAAATTGTTGTGATAATTTATTATATCGTATCGTATATGATTAAAATATGAATAATAAATGATCAAATATAAAATTGTACTGTGAAATACTGGTTTTACGTAGAACAGATCGGAGATCCAGATGTGCGTATTACATTTTATATATATATATATGTGGATCGAAATTTTTTTTTTTTTTTTTTTTTTTTTTTTAAAAAAAAAAAAAATTAACAATGCCTGCTTCAGCTATTGTTAATGAAGGTAATTCAATAAAATCTTCTAGGAAAAATAAAAAGTTACTCGATAAAGAAGTTGAATCTCAACTTGATGAATCTGATGGTAACAATGTAGTTAAGAGAAAAAAACATTCTAAATCTAAAGATAAGAAAGAAAATGATGAAGACTATCACAAGAAAAGAGAACATGAAGATTCTAAAGGTTCTGATTCTCCAACAAAATCAAAACGTAAGAAATATGCTGATGAAGAACAAGAACAAGATTTTGATGGAAAGCTTGAAACCTCAGTTAAATCGCCAAAGTCAAAGAAACGTAAATTAAGTGAAAAAGATTTAGCTTCAGTCATAATTAATAATGATCTAGATGTTGAAACAAAAGATGCCAATATAAATTCTTTGGAATCAAATGAAAGAGAAGATGGAACAGAAATTTCTGAAAATTTAAGATTAAGTTCTTATAGATTAACGCAAACAACTATAGATTCGTTAAAAAGACGTGGGGTCGAAGCTTTATTTCCTATACAAGCTGCAACATTTGATTTGATTTATGATGGAAAAGATGTTTTGGCTAGAGCTAAAGTAATTTATCAAAGCAAATTTTCTTTAGAATTTAGTTTTTTTTATATACATGTATCTTTGACTCATCTGTTGATTTTATTATTCTTCTTAGACAGGAACAGGTAAAACTTTGGCATTCGGTCTGCCAATTACCGAAATTCTTTTGATTCAAAATCAAAAGGATAGCTTTTCCAGTAAACTCCGTGGACGCTCTCCAAGAGTGATAATCATGACACCAACTCGTGATTTAGCAAAACAAGTTTCTTCAGAATTTGCATCTATCGCTCCTTCTTTGAAAGTCCTTTGTATCTATGGAGGTGTATCTTATGATGTCCAGAATCAGGGATTACGTGATGGAATTGATGTTTTGGTGGGAACACCAGGTCGAATCTTGGATCATATTGATCGTGGCAATTTAAAATTGGGTGACTTGAAATTTATTTGTTTGGATGAAGCTGACCAAATGCTAGATATTGGATTTGCTGAAGCTATGGAAGTTGTTTTGCAACACGTAAAAAGTCATAAAGAAGAACAAGGAAAGGGCGTTGATTATCAAACACTTTTGTTTTCTGCTACAGTTCCTGACTGGGTTAGACAAACTGTAAAGAAGTATTTAAAAAATGATTATGCTAATGTGGACTTAATTGGAAACGTTGACGCAAGAACCAACGGTACGTTTAAAAGAATGAAACAGAGTACGATTATATATTAATTATTATATCTTTTTTCCTTCTATTTAGAAAATATTAATCATTATGGAATCCGTTCTTCTTGGGCTTCCCGAAAAGACATTATTGGGGATGTAGTTGCTTGTTATGCTGGATCTGGATCATGCGTTATTTTTTGTAACACGAAAAATGATGCAAACGGTAATTATCTTGTTTCTCTGACTTGTCAACGAAATTATAATGAAAGTAAATTAATTTAATAATTATGAAATTTATTTTGAAACGTTTAGAACTTGCACTTAATGATAAGCTGAAACAAGATGCACAAGTCTTGCATGGTGATATTGCTCAAACGCAGAGAGAAACCACTTTGAAAGGTTTTAGGAACGGAAAATTCAAATGCATAATTTGTACTGATGTATTGGCTAGAGGAATTGATATTCCCCAAGTCGGTAAGTTAACAGATAATGGTAAATTCTATTAATATTATTATGATAATTAAATAACAATCTTCTTCAAATAAAGATTTGGTCATCAATTGTGAACCACCAAAAGACGTTGAAAGTTATGTACATCGTGCAGGAAGAACAGCCAGAGCAGGACGTCAAGGAAAAGCCGTAACTTTCTTTAAACCGCAGGAAGAATATTCGTTACAAAACATCGAAAAACGTGCAAGAATACAGTTCCAAATGGTTGGTCCTCCACAGCCACAGGATATCATTGCCGCTACAGCAAATGACGCAGTAAAAAATCTAGAATCTGTGGAATCTAGTGTTTTACCATACTTTCATTCTACTGCAAAAGATTTAATTGAAAAGCAAGGAGCAATTGAAGCATTAAGTGCAGCATTAGCTTATATGAGTGGATATTCTGGTGGGATAAAGAAAAGAAGTTTAATGAGCGCTACTGAAGGACATACAACTTTATTATTTAAGTTTAGTTATCCTATTAGACATGGAAGTTATGTTAAAAGTATTTTCAAAAATCATTTTTCTAATATTCCAGAAAATGATGTAAGAGCTTTTAAATTAACAAAAGATAATGAAGGAGTTGTATGTGACATTGTTTCTGATCATCTAAGCGTAAGTGAAGATGGAGTTATTAGTTTGGGTGGAAGACCGTGGTATGATACTAAAACTACTATTTTGGAAGTTCCTAAAGAATTACCTGAATTGCAAGAAAATAAAAATGATTATGGAAGAAATGGATGGGGAAGAAATGGTGGTAATAACAATGGAGGGAATTTCAGAAATGGAAATGGAGGAAATAGAAATGGTGGATTCAATGGTAACTATAAAAATGGTAGAGGAAATAGTTATGGAGGGAAATCTAATGGAAATCGAGGAAATGGTTATGGAAGAAAATCTTTTTAGGTTTAAAACTTTATTTTTTTTTTGTGAGTTTTATGAAATTGTCTATAGGAAGAAAATAATAATTTTATAGATTTCTTATTCATAATTAATTAATTTCCCCCTCAAAAAAAAAAGTAATATACCAAAATTATTTTTAATCAATTTGCAATAAAATAATAGAAATCATTTATAATTGCGGGATGTATTTATAATTTATCAATATGATATTTTTGTGCAATTGTTTTATCAAGATCAATTTGATTGAAATTTGAAGATTTTCTTCATTTATTTACTTATAATTTCATCCCATCCGGTTTTGCGTATTTGGAAAATCACATTACGAAACATGACTTTAAATTTTAAGGTCTGTTAAAACATTCGAGTAAACAATTGGCAATGATCTTTTAACTTTTTAAGTAATCAGAATCCATCTTTGCAGTATAAAGGTCTTTGTTGTCGTAATTTCATGTAATGCCACTTTGTATAACGAATTGCATTAAAATGTTAGTGTGAAATCTTCACGGCATTGTTACCTGTTGAGTCCATGGTTTTTTTTATTGTTAGTTATTATAATTTTCAAATTGAATCAATGTAGATATAAGTTGCGTTCCCGTTGCTAGAAAATAAAAAAGTAAAATGCCAGCGAATCTAGCGTTATGTGATTCAAATTTCGCGTTGAACGGATCTAATTCAACCGCAAATTTTTCGTAACCCTGTGAATATAGAAAGATGAATTAAAGCTCATTGGATTCTTTGTGACATGACGCACCAAATTTGAAAATGTTTTCTTGAGCTACTATAAATTAATTTAGACTCGAGCTGACTTACAAAGCCTTAACAAAAAAAAAATAAATAAATAAAAAAAAAAATATGATCATTTATTATTAGCTTCAATTGTATCGAATGCCTCAAAGATCGTTTGAGAATTTTTTTTTACTAAAATGTTTTAAAATCATTTCTTTTTTTTTTTCCGGAACGAGAGATTTGTCTTCGAAGAATTTCTCACAGTTGAATTTGCTTTCGCGTTTCTCATTAGGAGTCGTCTGGAGAATTTCCCTCATTAGAAACATTTAAGCCTCTCGGATTATTTAATTATAAAACTGTATTGATAATAAAATAGAGTTACAATTTTAATCACTGCGCCATGTTTCTAACGTCTCCAGAAGGTTCCCATTTCCGGAACGTTATTATAATGGATGCAACATGTATCTTTGAAATGACTATTCTCGAGTTCATCCTTGCATATTATAGTCACATTAAAGAAGTCCTTGAGAAAACGAAAACTTAAGAATTTTCGTTTAATTATGAGTTTTAAGTTCCATGATGGGTAAGGGAATATCGATTCACTGTGTTTTTTTTTTTTTGATGAACCTCGTTGTAGATTTGCCACAAACGTTGTTGAAAGTTTTGATTAAACAAACAAGCGATCCTAAGAATCGAGTGATCAAGTGATAGAAAAGCAATTAATGAAAGTGAATCATCCATCGTATATGGACTCGAGGCATTTGAATTACTTCTTATAAAAGTTATATTATAACATTAAAATTACCATTAAAATACATCGTTTAATCTTTTCAGAGTATATACATGTATGCAAATACACTGCAATCCTATCATATAAAACTTTATTTCTTAATAGATATTTTTTTTCTATTTCAAATAATTTAATTATTTTTTAATTTCAAATGTTTCATCCACTTATTATGCAGTTTAGAAAAAGAATTTTCGATACCTTATAGCTTCTCCTAAGACGCTATTTAGGTCAGCAATTTATTTTTTTTCCCAAGGAATATTTAAGTATATCTAAGCATGATGATGGAAATGAAGTCTTTTAATATATTTATTTGACCATATTTAAATGTCAACATTAAGATCGTGAATATACCGGTAATTTATTTAATAAGATTTTATATTGTAACTTTTTTTTGTTAGATAATTCCAGTGAGTGTAACATTGTAAAGGAGTCCTCGTTTCAACATACTTTGCAACCTTCTTCCAGATTTTTCCAAATCTGTTAACAGCAATTTCAAACCTTTCAATTTCAAAAGCCTTCCATTTACCTACATTAATCAAAGGATTTAATTTTGGATGCTTTTTATAGTGCAACTTAATATTATTTAATTTTCTATTTGGAAATAATTTTGAAATTTCAAACCAATTTTCTCCATGATTTAAAATAGCATTCCTTAATTTAATATTTGCGTCATGAGTCCAAGATGAATTAGTAAGCAAAAAATATCTATAAGAGATATTATAACACGGTCTATCAAGCATTTGACTAAAAGTTATCCATTGTTTACCAAATTTTGCAACCAAATCAAATAAATGATGATCTTCTTCAATTGTCCATTCTCCTTTTTGGGATGATTTTGCTGATAACCTTATATATCTTTTACAAATTTGTTTTCTATCTTTTGTGTGAAGATATTCTGAAATTTTCGACCAATCTCCAACTCCAAATTCAATTATTTTTTCCAATAAAATATTATCTTCTTCTTCAGTCCATTCTTTTGTATAAATTTCTTTATCTTTGAAACTCTTATTTAAATCATTCCACTTTATTAATAATGATCTTGGTGTTCTTGTTGAAAAGAAACAATGTTCGGAAATAAGCTCCCAAGACTTTCCATGTTCCTTTACAGCATCATTCAGTAATCGAATTTCTTCCTTCGAATATTTTGTTTTTAATTGAAATTTTGATTGTATTAAATCAACTGGTTCGAAAATTGGGTTTGTCGTTAAAATGTTTCGTGATGTTGATTGAAAATTTCGTACATATCCATTACATTTAAAGGAGTGAAACTTTATAAACGAAGTAAATCGAAACATTTTTTAGGAATAAAAAAAAAAAATAATAAAAATATTTCAATAAATAAAAAATCAGGACGGCTGTGTAACATGACGATCACACTCTACTGCGCCTTAAGTAATTTCCTATTCATATGTATTCTTCATAATTTCGTGGTCGAAATGATTACAATATCGGTATTTGTTGCATGTTTTATTTTTTTTTGATTCATCATGAATGCGTGATCATAACGCAAATTTATTCACGTGCCGGAAGACCGTTTCGTAATGATGAGGTATTCTGAAAATAAATAAATCGATTGGAAGAATTTCATTTCGCTTTATTTTATTTTAGATATTTTAGATATCCATCGATATGAAAATACCCAATTTTCGACCCATTAAACTTCGCCTTGTAAATACCTTTCCTTCATATACACTAAGTTTGATTAAATCAATTTTAAATTGCATAATTTGTTCTAAAATTTTGTATTTTATTAATTTTGTCATTCAATTTTATGAACGTATCGCGTGACCTAAAGAAATCTGACGGCATTCAAGAAAAAAATGACACTTTAACGAAAATAAATCTGCTATTGAATTTCCAAATTCAGATCCATTGACGCTAATTATAGAATAAGCAATACTAAAATAAATACAAAAGAAATTACTGGCTACCAATCTCATTAGTATATTCCCTCGTTCGAAAAAACATATGACACTGTTTCGGTGTCCTCGTACCAACATCTTTCGAAATATTAATCCATTTTTTGCCATATATTTCAAAGGCTTCCCAGAATTTCTTAACCTCTTCTGCTTTCCATCTACCCGTATTAGCATTTGGATTAGCTTTCGGATTGTTCCAATAATATTTTTTAATCTCATATAAGGTTCGATCTGGAAAATTTTTCATGATTTTGTCCCAATCATGATTATATTTTAAAATGGCATCTCGGAGTTTGCTATTTTCTTCCGGTGTCCAAGGTTTAGAACTAAGAGTCTGATATCTCGTCTGACATGAATTATAAGGTCGATCGATAAAATCGCTGATTATATTCCATTTACCTCCGTATTCCGCAATTAATTTGAGTAAAAGTGAATCTTCTTCTTTTGTCCATTTACCACTTTTTTTCTTTGAAACTTGTTTCCATTTTTTTTGAATCTGATAACTATCTTTAGTTTTAATTAGTTTTGATATCTCTGTCCAATTGCCGACACCATATTTTTCCACTCCATTAATTAATAATTTAATTTCTTCAGCCGACCATCTATTATAATATGATGGTCTCGATTCGCTTAACCTAATGGTTTTCCATTTTTGACATAATGTTTCAGGTTTTCTACTAGATTTAAAATACTCCTTTGTAATATATGTCCATTTATTTCCGTGTTTGAAAACTGCATTTTTAAGGATATCTGTTTCATGTTGTGTCCAATAATTCATATCTCTCGATTTTATATTGGGCATATCTTGCTTGTCATTATTCGAAATATCCAAAGTGGTTTGTTCATTTTGACTTGAATTACTATACTTTTGTAAACCACTAGTTGTAATGAATTTTCTTAAATAATTTCCAAAGTGAATTACTCGAATTACTCGTATATTTACATATTGAAACATCTTAGATTGATTAATTTATATTAAAACAAATAAGAAACATTCAAATTTTTTTTGGTTTAATTATTTTCCTCCTCATTTATTGAAGGTCGAAAATATGTACACAATTACATCATTAACATATGATAATGCAACGGCTAGCCTATTGAGATGGAATATCGAAAATGTGTGTGACATTAACAGGTATTGAATTCATAAAATGAAATTTCTTTTTTTAATTCATCAAAAAAAAATTTTTCTTTTTTTTTTTAAAAAAAAAAAAACACTCAAAAGAAAATATTATTTTGTCGTTAATTTTACAGGAAATCTATATTAAAATTCCTCTCCCTCACATCTTATCATAATTTTTATTTGAAATAATTTAAACATGTTTCAAAGTAAAGAGCTCAGGCAGGCATTTAAATATGCCCAACGTAAGAAGCATAGGCGGGCGGGCATCAATTATGCCCAAAATAACGGATGGGCGGGGGATATCAATTATGCCCAAAGTAATGGTCGATTATGCTCAAAGTACAGTAAGGCGAACGGTCATCAATCAGGGTCACTTTGGAAAATTTTATTTTTTTTGAAATTTTATTTTTTTACATTAACGTTAAACAATCAAGTATATTTAAGTTTTTAATATTTAAAAAAAATTATGATTAAATTAGTCATAACCTAATCGGCGATTCTTTAATAATTATATTAAAGTAATCAACGGCGACTATTTTGAATTATTTTTAATTTAAAAGTTATTTTTAAATTATATTTTTAATACAAAGCTTTTATAAATAAATAATTAGAAGAATTCATAAATTTACTAAATATTTTACTAAAATAAAAAGTTTAATATATAATTAATTATAAAAAATTTAATATTATTTAAAGAGAATTAACAATTAAAATATATACGTTGCTGCATCTCCCTCTTCTGATATTAGATTATCTTCAAAACTGATATCAATATTTAAAGCTTCATTGTCAACAATAACATCATAGGGAAAAGTTTCGGCTTCATTTTCTTCAACTGTTATTCATCATTTACATATTTATATTATACTTAAAACCTATTTATAAAAAGACTGCCGATCTTTTATAATATAGGACCAAAGGACTGGAAATCTTTGAGACTGATTCTCATCTTTACTAACAACATGAGGAACATAAAAAATATTTTCACAAAAGTGAGGAAGACTTTGAAAAACAGTTAATGCGTGATCAGATTAAAAAAGAACTCTGTGAAGATAATGGGATTTCTCTAAGGTGTTAGGATCCATACATAGTCATTCTCGAGAGTTGGGTCTCATTGGATAAACTCAACTTTAAATACTAGACTAAAATTTTTTCATCAAGAATTACACAAAAAAAAATTGAATAAAATTTTCTTTGATACATGTATGAAGCATACACGTGTTGTGGGCTAAAATAAGCTGCAAACGCTTTCAAGGGAATAACTCACAACTCACATAAGACGATTCCTGGAATCAGACTTTTTACTGATAAGTATTTGATTTTAAAGTGTGGGTAAACTTCAAAAACTTGAGCCTTCTCAATGAATGTGTTGGTCAACGATTAACGGTAATAGAAATTAATTTAAAAGTTTTTATTTAACTAAATGTGAATTTGCATTTTAATTTATATATATGTTTTAAATTAACTTATTGTTTACTTGATATCCATTAAGTTTTTACCTTTCATGTTTATTTAGTAGAGCAGAATTGTCGCGAACTTTTATTTTTAATATATAAAAAGAAATAATTACTAAAAATGAAAATGGTTGTTAATTTAAGCAAAGAATTCCTGATTTACTAAACTAATTAAAACGTGGTTGGTAAACAGGTCGGTCAAAATCGGTCGGTCAACCGGTCTTTGACTGGTCATGACCGTGACCATTAGCATCCCGAATAAAGTTTTATCTCAATCTATTGGATAGCGCTTAAATAGATTGACGTCTGTCGTTATAGAGGAAATTGATAGAGAGAGATAGGTTGCGTTAGCGTTCGATAAGATTCTTGAAGTGATTCACCAAAATGTCTTCATTAAAAGATAAAAAGTAAATATCAAGGGAAATATAAAGGTATCCTTCATAACGTTTAACAGTAAAAAAGACTTCCCAAAGTATAGGAGAAGTTACAATCTGGCAAAAAATTTCTACTTTTATTAAACCAAACTAAAAGCATGGATGAAATTATCTCGACAAATCTTCGGAAATTAATTTTAAATTGTCCATTACCATTGTTATGATGAAAAAAATGATGTAAATAATGTTGACAGATTTAAGCGTAAAGGTGAGAACTCATGTCAGGATAACCGGAAAAATCACAATGTTCTTAATGTTCTTGCATAAGGAAGAAATAATGAAATATGTAGTCAACGTGCTTCGGTTCTGCGTCGTCTTAATACTTTAATGACAGGTGTATTGAGGAAAATCAAAAGTGTTAATAAATTTATAATACGAAAAAAAGAAAAATGATCATGCGGTTGAAATAAAAATACGTACCACATCAAGTTGAAGGTGTAACAACCGGTTTAAACTGGTTATTTTGAAATTATTCAATATAAAAAAAATAATAGATACCCTTAAATTGCAATAGTTTGTTTTGAAAATAGTTACTAATAAATCCTGATGTTGGGAGGATATTAGAATTGATTTTGTATACCTCAACAATTTTTAGTTTTGATCGGTGCTTCTTTTAAAAACGAACTTTATTAGATTAAAATAGGGAAAGAAAAAAAATTAATGTCAAGGCTCGAAGGATTGGTACGTTAAAAAATTGCTTCCATCTTGGTTCTAATTATTCCCCCATAAACATAAAAAGTAATAACATTATGTATGCGCTGTTTTTTTTTTCCAAGCATGACAAATGTGAAATATGCATAGAGAGAGCTAACTTTACTAGTGATAGTCCTAGTCATTGTTCACAAAAATGGAAATTGGATGATTTTTTTTTAGTATATAAATTTACCAAAATTATAATCTTGGATTCCTCCTTTTTTTTTTTTAAAAAAAAAAAAAAAAATTAATAATTTCGACCGTTATAAAGTAAAAGAAGCACAAAAAAGTATCAAAATCACATCAATCTACATATTTCTCCGGGAGAAAGAAATGAAAACTATGGACATGTTGCTAAATCATCAATCTCAAAGTACAATTTCTTCGCATTATGGAGAATTAGCTAGAAAGGCCGAGGCAGAAAGGTCCTATGATCCTCCTGGTGAATTCTCAAAATATGGTAAAAGACATGATAATGATTTTGCAGACATTTCAAATATTTCGGTTATCCCTACAAAAGAGGAAGTTTTGTGTGATCGTGATCCCTTTTTACCTTGTTTCCTTCCAAATGCGCCACATTTTTTACCTAATGGTGCCGCTAGGTTACTTGATACACAATTTCGTTTATTAAGAGAAGACATGTTGACTCCCATTCGTGGAAGTATACAAAGCCTAATAGACGTATTATCACAGGGGTTGAACAATACTTCTAATAAAAGTAACTTATCTAAAGGATTGAAGAAAATTAGAAATGAATATGCAGACCTTCATGTATATAATGATGTTGAATTTGTTGATATTACTTGTAGCAGGAGGAATGGAATTGAATACACTTTAAGGTTTACTCCTCCTAAAGTTCGCGGTTCATATTACGATAGGAAAACATATTGGGAGAAAAGTCGAAGATTGCTAAATGGTAGTTTAATTACCCTGTTATTGCCAAATCCAGATGCAAAACGAAAAAAAAAAATTACTACCACCGGTGGTGTTACATCTAATAGTAGTTCTGAGAAGTATTTGATTTTCTTTGGAGTAGTAGTATCAAGAAATGAAAGGGTTTTAGCCAAACATCCCGATTACGTTGATTTAGGTATCAGTTTTACCGATCCATCCATTTATCCTATTGCATTAGATGAAATTTCTTACTCTTATAATATGATAGAAAATTCTATAGAAGAAAGATTTATGGTTGAATCAACCGGAGTTTATTTCGAAGCTTACAATCATGTTCTTAACACTATTAAATCCACAAAGCCTTCTTCCCTTCCTTTTGTAAAATATTTTGCTCCTATTTCTGATCGTTTTCATTATGATGTTGAAGTTAAACCACCATTGTACGCTAGGGCACCTGGATTTCATTTTGATTTGTCAGTTATATGTGACAGAAGGAAACCGTTAACATTAAATGTTGAAAATAAAAGCAGCTATGATGAAGTAGCAAAAAAACTTAACAATTATTGTAGATTAGATCAAACTCAAGGTAATTAATTCATTACTTCAATATAGAAGCAAATTAGCGTTTGGTTACAGAGATTTGTATTAACTTGATTCTATATTTAGCGAAAGCATTAATTCATGCTTTGACACGTGAAATTGCATTAATTGAAGGTCCGCCAGGTACTGGAAAAACAGTAGTCGGTGTTGAGATAATGAAAGTATTGTTGGCAAAAGAAAATCATAATGCAAATATTGGTCCCGTTCTCACCATATGCTTCACTAATCACGCCCTTGATCAATTCTTGGAGGTACCATAATATTTTTTAACTTAACCTGTTTCACCTTATACTTCTCCAGATTGTATTTTAAAATATTATTTTCATTTCTTATTTACTCGCAGCATTTACTTGACGCAAAAATAACAAATATAGTTAGATTAGGCACGCGAACAAAATCTGAAAGAATAGAAGAATATACACTAGAAGAAGTTTGCAAAAAACGTTCCGATAAACATAGCAAAGAAGTATCCCGTTCAATAGCAGGTTTACATCAATCATTAGAAAGTATTGAACAGGAAATTGATGTTGTTAACTATAATTTATTCAAAAGATGGATGAGTTGGCAAGATGTACAAGCACACTTGATGACGAATGAAAGAACATTTTATGATAAGTTTAATCATGTGTCCAATAACGAACTACCTTCTTGGGTATTAGGAGCTAACAACAGGGAGGAGGTGGATTTTATCTCTGCTCAAAATAGATGGAATCATTTACACACATTCGAGAAATGGTTAAGATGCATGGATTATATAATAATTAAAAGAAGAAAGGAAGCCTTGTCACGTTCACCGATAAAGTTCAGTTATGACTCAACGATTGACTATGAAACTATTCGATGGATAATAGATTACGAAGAACCTGAAACAGATCGTCCTTTATATATGTTATTGTATACAAATTCAGTTTGGCAAATGTCAAGAATCGAAAGAAGAAAACTTCATGATTATTGGCGTGACAAAATTCAGGAAAAATTTATAGAAAGGTTATCCAAATTAAAAAATAAACATGATAAAAAACGTGAAGAATTGAATTACATTTATGATAATGAACGTCAGAAGACATTAAAAGATTGTGACGTTATTGGTATGACCACAAATGGCGCAGCTAAATTTCAAAATTTAATTAGATCTATTGGTCCTAAAATTATCGTATGTGAAGAGGCTGGAGAAGTGCTTGAAGCTCATATCCTTAGTGCGTTAAGCCCTGCAACACAACATATCATATTGATTGGAGATCCAAATCAACTCCGACCACGAATTGCTACTTATTCACTTAGCTTAGAATCAAAAGAAGGAAAAAATTATCAATTGGATAAATCATTATTTGAACGGTTAGTTAATGGTGATAAAGCAGCAAAGATTGACAAGGTTCAACTTTTAACTCAGAGACGAATGAGAAAACATGAAATTTCTGATCTAATTAGATATACAATTTATCCAGAATTAATTGATGGTGAGAATACTGCAAATTATTCGAATATTCGTGGATCTCAACAAAATGTATTTTTCATCGATCATAGATATCCAGAAGATGATACTGGTGGTGATTTTGCAACGCAATCTCATGTGAATAAATATGAAGTCAAAATGGTAGTGGAGATGGTAAAACATTTTGTTAGGAATGGATATACTAAACCTGAAGATATAGCCGTAATTACTCCTTATTTGGGACAAATGATGAAAATCAAAGAAGCTTTAGACGATTCATTTGTTGTAGTCATTGATGAGAGAGATGCACAAAGTCTTGCTGAAATGGAACAAGATGATGGTAAAGTTGATAAAAATGAAAAGGTTGCTCTAGAAAAATCATTACATCAACAGGTTACTTTAAGAACCGTTGATAATTTCCAAGGTGAAGAAGCAAACATAGTCATCATTTCTTTAGTTCGCAATTTTGCTGGATTTGGTAAACGTGATACGATTGGATTTTTGAAAAGTACAAATCGAAGTAATGTGCTACTTTCACGTGCTCGAGAAGGAATGTATCTTATTGGTAATTCTAAATTAATGGCAGCAAAATCTAAAAATATGTGGACTCCAGTGATTAATATGTTACAATCACGAAATCCCCCACAAATTGGTTTTGGTTTTCCAATTATATGCAATAAACATCCTGATTACAAAAACATTATTGATGATCCTGAACAATTCGCAAAAGTTAGTCCAGATGGTGGATGCCTGAAGGTACGTTTATGTATTTACGTCATTTAAAAAATTTCAATTATCTAATATTCACTTTTCACGTTTAATTTCGTTTCAGAAATGTCGTATCCCACTTCCCTGTGGACACCGGTGCACTTATAAGTGTCATTCAGATGATCCTGAACATATCGGAATTCAATGTCTTCATCCTTGTAAAAGATTACTTCCAAAATGCAATCATCCATGTACAAGACTTTGTTTTGAAAATTGCGGAAATTGCAATGTTATTATAGGCGATATTATGTTAACTGACTGTGGACATATTATAAAGAATGCTAGATGTTGGCAAAAACACAATAAAGATACCGTTAAATGTTTGACATATGTTCGAAAACAATTTACTATTTGTGGACATTCAAAAGTCGTTCACGTAAGTAAATTGCGTTTACTTTTTTTTTTTATTTTATTTAATTGCTCATCTTTTTATAATAATATTTTTTTTTTATTTATAATTTTTCAGTGTTATGAATCTATTGATGATGATGTTCAATGTGAAAGTTTATGCGGAAAAACTTTGGAATGTAATCATAAATGCTTAAATGAATGCTTTAAATGTCAAGAACTTTCGAAATCACAAAATAAACCCCCCGTCAAACGAGCAAAACATATAAATTGTAAAGAGATATATAAAGGACTAAACTTTTGTGGAAATGTATGTAAATTTCCCTAAATAGAAAAGGTCCTTAAATTAGAATTCTCTTTATGACAATTATCAGTTATAGAAATTTTTCATTGGTGATATCATTTCGTCCAAGTTGAATATTGATATCATGTGAATATTCGTCTTAATGTTTTTTATCATAGATTATTGTTTATGAATTATTCTTTCACACATTTAAATTGCATCTCTAAGAAAGAAAAGCATATACAGTATTTGATAAATGATAAATTTCAATTATGCGATAATTTAAATTAAAATTTAACGGTTGGTCAAAGGCCTTTGACTGACCGTTGACCGACCATGACCGACCGTTACCGTCTATACTTTCCTAATTCTATTATGTGATTATTTGTTTTGTTTTGATTTAGTGTTAATTTTTTTTTAAAAAAATATTTGAGAATAAAACTTTCTACAATAATGAAACAAAAGTAGAAAATGGTTATAAATATTTTTAAGTTTAATTGTGGTGATAACACGACAGGCAAAATTGCGAAATTATGTATGGGTTTTGAACGTTATTTAGGAAACTATGCTATAATTTAACACAAATTTGCACCCTTTCAACGAACAATATGTAGTTCATAAATTCCCTTAAAAAAAAAAAATACCGTCTTTACCAATTGTTATCTTTGAGGTATAGGAATATAAAGCGAATAAATCAGTTATGATATTACAAATAAACACCGAAAATAAACTTATTATAAATGCATACCTACATAATTTCAAGAATTAAGATATGTAATAGTTATTCGGCACGAAGTGCCGAGAAACTGTGGTATTTGCAATAATCAATATGATTGATAAATTTTTATTGAGCACCTTTTACTGATCAAATTGCTTATTGAAAATACCAGTAAATGCCACAATTATGAGGCACGTAGTGCCGAGTAATTGTTTTTAGGGCATATTGTATTGTAACATATTAAATACTTAGTATCAAGTAATACTGAAATAATTCCTCAATAGTGATAAACAATTGTAATTGGAAAAAAAAACAGAAAATAACGACGAATAGTCATATTAAAAAATATGACTAATAATTTAATCATTTGAAATTTATATTCTGTTATAAATTTTTCTATCTGAGATTTAAAAATATCGAAGTCACGACGATGGGATTGTCTCTCCATATCAATTATTGGACGCAGAAGGCGCGTATGCTTGTATGTTAGATCGTTGATAATTCTTGTACAACATTGGTGTTGTACAGTTGGATTTTTTTAGGTCAAGTTATTCATTTTTTTTTGCTATCGGTATGTTGTCAAAGAATTATTTCTCTTATTTATTATTATTATTTGAAATTACAGAATGTCATTTAGTAAACATATCAGGTAATTATTTTATTGATTTATACGCCAATTGCTTTTTTTCTCGTTTTTATTTACAGACCAAATTCTTACCCAAAATGAAGAAAATAGATTAAAAAAGTAAACAAAGTACAAGATGCAAGGAATATTAAAACTACCCATATGATCAGCCTATGAGCTTAGTATAGGCAATATCATAAATCTGCTTGTTTTCAGTCGTTGAAAAACATTGTATTTGTACTCGTTGATTAATAAGAGGTTTTTATATGATGATTCAACTCTTTGACTATTCAATCTGAGCAGGTAATAAAATGTATATATTTAATATATGAAATTATCCCGTTTTCTAAAAATTCTAATTATGCGGTATCTGATTCCAATGTTACACAGTTGCATAGCACTTTGTCAAAATTATGAGTACAACAGAAGCTATGACGGTATTAATTAATTCGAATCTTGACAGGTTTCAATGTACAGAAATTTTATTCTAAAGTTTTGATTATTGACTGACATTTGATTCGATAATCATTAATATTTTGCAATCCTAAAAAACTGTCACTAAGGAATTCCTTTCTTTATCGAATTTTTTTTTGCGACTTAAAATCTAAAGCTAAGTTTCTCCTTTGTTTGCATTAAACATTAAATGGAAAATTTCAAATTATTTATAACGCGACATAGGTGTTAACAGGGATTCTTTCTTCTTTGCCTCAAACAAAGAAATTTTTCATAAAAAATAAATGTGCAGGTTATAGATATTTCAATGTTGAAACTCCTTCATCAGCATCCAATACAATAATTTAATGAGCCAATACGTTTTCGTTAATAAAATAGTTCGGGTAAATCATTGGGTGCGTTCACAAATTCATTTGGATCGACGTCTTAATCCAATCCAAATTCACAAATTAAAAATCCGATTTGGATTAGATTGAGTTGATCCAATTGATTGGA